CGAAGTGGAGATCTTTTTTAAACGTTGGAACCTCATTTAATTTTATGTCTTATAGAGTTTATAATGAGTTAAAGATCGTATAACTGTAATAATTCAAATGTAAACCTAAAAATGTACAGCCAATTTTGAAAGAGATGCATCCTAACTCAGAAAACTGTTATTGAATATGTCAATGCTGATGTAATGAAATGCTTCTTCTAAGTATGTTGTTATCAAATAAATAATTTTTAAAAAATTTAACTCAGCATACATAGAGTTAATGCTTTGATACTTATAGATTATACATATGAAAAGAAAAACCTTTAAGGTATAATAAGTGTTAGCTATTATAATAATAGCTGTTATTCTATTTTCTCACACTTATAAAAACAGGTATTATACTTCATTAAGCACTGCCAAAATGGTTTTGGTAGTGATTCCTCATCAACTGTTATCATGCAATAAAATAACAAATGCACTATGTTGGGCCTAAGCCAATACCTGTTTGCCTCCAGTATTATCTTCCTTATTTTAAATGGTATTTGTTATTTATTTCTCAAAGATTTCTCTTCTTGCCATTGACATCAAATTGTTTTGTGATGTACTTTAACATTCATTATAAAAAGTCTGATTGCTATCGGGTATGGTGGTGCATGCATTTAATCCCAGCACTCAGGAGGCAGAGGCACGGGGATCTCTGTGAATTCGAGGTCAGCCTGGTCTACATAGTGAGTTCCAGGCCAGCTGGAGTGACAGGGAGACCCTGTCTCAAAAAGACCGGAAAAAAAAAAAAGTCTGATTGCTTCCCAAGTAATAGACTGTAGTACATAGTTAAGGAACATTTCACTTTTTACTTGATTTTTAAGATGATTATTAGTTAAGTGGATGTGTATATATCTGAGCCTAACTGAATCCATTAGAAATATTAACATGTAGTAAAATTCATTATAAATAAAATCAAGTAACTTTTCCCATTTGCATTCAAATACTTTTCTGGTTATGACCATTATAAGATGAGGCGATGCTAAAATTCACTGTCTACTGTTTCTCAGTGTTAGAACTCACATATCTAGACATGGACATCTAAAACTTTGGTTTCTTATTCTACAATTAAAAAGTATTTAGGCAAAAGGGTCAGGGTTAGAGTACAGAAGTTATGTGATTTTTTTTAAAATGTGAAATATATTTGCTTTTATTTGGCTTTAAAATTTTAGGTTTGAGTTTTCAGGACCACTGCTCAGAGCAAAGAACATATGATTGCTGACCTGCCTGTTTATAGCCCAGATAACAAAAGGTTTAAGTGTTTCACATTTTTGTAACTGGATGACTCTATCCCAATTATGCATTTTCTATGAAAAAGATCTGACAATAGCATAGATTTTTTAAAAGTATGTCAAACTATCATGAAACTTGCTTTAAAAATAATTTTTTTGCATTAACAATTACTTAACATGTTTGTTCTTACCGTTCTCTGTTAAATTTAAGAGAATGAAGAATAGCTGGCCTTTTTTGTCTAAGGTTCCACAAATGAAGTGTATCATCTGAACTTGCACTAACCAAAGCACCCTGCAATAAAAAGAAGACAAAGTGTGTGACTTACCTAATTTAGGAAAGAATAAATGGTAAGCTAATTGCAAATTTTTCAGTGCTTCAAGAGATATTTGCACTACATAACCTAGAAATGCGAGGGAGAAAAACTGCATATGCTTCAGTGAGAAAGTTCAAGGATGCTGAGTGAAAGAGGCAAGTGATTTAAAAAGCATATGGATGGTCATATTCAAGAATATCTACTTACTAATAGAGAGGAGTAATCAATATAGCATCATTGTGAACACCTATATCAAGCATCTGCCCCTCACCCCCAAGGCTCAGGGGTCATTTAGGAAGTGTAGTAGAAAGACTTCAATAGCCAGAGGGCGTGGATGACCACCAGACAGCTGGTCAGTTACTCATATGAACTCACAGCAACAGTGACAGAATGCACAACTCCCATGCAAGCTTAAACCAGAAAAAATCTAGCATAAACACGAGGAAGTGGGTAAGAAGCTCCAACCCCACCTAAGGAAATTGTGGCAATTCTTAGATATAGATATTGATATATACAAATATATGCAGAAATTGAACAAAAGATCATCATCATGGTTTAAGAAAATAAGCAAACATCTTTTCGGGCACTAAGTTTAAGCTTCATAGTGCTTGAATTTGGCCTGGCCCAAACTTTTGAAGCGTTATTGCACTGCCAGGCTCACTTACCACAAAAGAGCTATAGACAACCACAAGAACTACTTTAAAAAATCTAAGTTAAAATGCAATAAATTGCCTTCAACTAATGAAAGAACTTCAAAGTTTTCTGAGCTTTGTCAATACATATTAGTTTCCTGTAAATTTTTTGCCACCATAGTTCTATAAAATAAAGTAGAAAGCTAATTTCCATAATACCTATGGACACATAAACGATACATAAACCAACAAATGTGCATGGAAATAAAAGATAAATGCGTATACAGATAAAAGATGTATGAATATAGAGATAAAACAAACAAAAAGGGATTTTCATTGATGATACAAGCAAAACACTTAGATTAGTGGGAAAAGGGTCAGGGGAAAAAAGCATAATGGTCAGTGTTCTAGCTTTCCTGTTGCTCTAATAAACACCATAACCAAAAGCAAATTGGAGAGGAAAGCATTTATTTCATCTTACAGATTACAATCCCCATTATTGAGAAAAATCAGGGCAGTAAGTCCAGCAGGGCAAGAACTTGAAGCAGGAACCATGGAGGAATGCTGCTTAATGGCTTGCTCCCAGCCTCACTTTCAGCTACCTTTCTTATAGAGAGTCACAGTGGGCTCTGACCTCCTACATCAGTTAGCAACCAAGAAAATACCCCCACAGATATGCCTGCAGGCCAATCTGAAGGAGGAAATTCTTCAACTGAGGTTCCCCCTTCCCAGGTGTATCAAGTTGAAGTCAGTGAATCAATTAGATGACTTTAGATTAAAAAATATATATTTTATTTATTATTTTTATTTTATGTGTATGAGTATATTGTCTGCATGTGTATAAGTGTACCCATATTGTGTAGTGTGAAAGGAGGTCAGAAAAGGGTGTCAGATCCCCAGGAACTGGAGTGACAGACAGTTGTTAACTGCCATGTGGATGCTGAGAACTGAACCCAGGTCCTCTTCAAGAGCAGTCAATGCTCTTAACCAGTGAGCCATCTCTGCAGTCCCATGATGTTAGATTTTTAAAATATCAAATAATCATTTAAGTTATGCTACAGTCACAGTAAAAGATCTTTTGATAAAGTATTTTTCTTTAAATTTTATATTTTAAAGTTAACACACAAATATGAAAAATGTGTGAATAATGCAAACACTTTAAAACAGTTTATATCATGATATTTAAAAAACTGCATCAACTATAGGTTTAACATCCTTAATCCAAAAGTTCAAAATTTCAGGTGCTCTAAAACTTGATATTTTTCCACAAATGAAAAATTCCATATTTTACCTCCTGTGATGGGTTATGTTCAAACTGTAAGAGCATTGAAAATATTATACAAAATTACCTTCAGACTGTATATATAATATATACACACAACATAAATGAATTTCATGTTTAGATTTGGGTTCCTTCTCCAAGGTATCTTATTATGTGTATATGCAAATATTTCAAAATTAAAAATCTGAAATCCAAAAACTTTGTGTTTTGTCTCAACCATTTTGGATAAGGTAATACAGCCTGTAGTGCAATATGTGAATGCATGTTTAAAATATTTTAATTATTATTTTTATTTTTGTGTGTGCATATGAGTATATTGCCTGCATGTAAGTGCACTCATGTTGTGCAATGCTTGTGGATGTCAGAAGAGGGCATCAGATTTCCCTGGAACTGGAGTTACAGACAGTTATTATCTGCCATGTGGGTGCTGGAAACCAAACCTAGGTCCTTTGCGAGAGCACTCAGTGCTCTTAACCACTGAGCCATTGCTCCAGCCCCCCGTGTGTGTTTAAATGTGTGTGTGCATTTTAAATAGTCAAAAACTGTATGTGTGTTTAAAATAAGTTTTAAAAGTCCTTACCTCATTGATCAAGAATTGGAGTTGCAAGACAGCTGCACCACTTTCATGTTGGCAGTAACAATCAACACCAGGTCTCCCAAGTCTAATATAATAAAAGTCAAGGATTCTAACATTTTAATTAGTAAAACATAAAAAAGTAAAGGAGAATCTAACTTGTGTAGTAATCGATGCTATGCTTCTTCATTGTCCTTATTTTTTAGAGTTGAAATATTTTACTTTATTAAAACTGAATTATATAGTACAGATATTTAATACTCTAACAGGGAAAATGATAGTACAAAATTGGAAGGAACTTCCTTCCCCTAAATCAAAACATAATTGTAAGTCTCAACACATCTCATTTCATTTACTATCTAATTGATTATACACTTCTTCCCAAAAAATAAGTTCAAATGATTGAAATATTTAATGCAATAAATGAAATTATAAAATTATGAACCTATTTAAATATATGAGCAATATTGATATATACAGGACCTTTGTAACCTTAATTCAAAAACAGTAGATCATAAAGAAATAGATTAATGTATTACATATAAAATATAAAATTTCTGCATAGGAAAATAAGACTAAAAGATAGACATATAAAGGAATAAACAGTAACATTTGAATTGTTATATAGAACAAGTAAAAAAGAAAGAACAAACAAGAAAGAAAGGATGGAAGATGGTGTGAAAGGAAGAAAATCAAACAACACAAAGCAAAATATACGAATGTACTCTTTACCAAATGATACATATGTGTATATTTATCGTTTTTTCTTTTCTTTTTAAAAAATATTTTATTTACTATTTTTATTTTACGTGTATTGATTGCATGTGTGTAAGTGCACCCGTGTCGTGCAATGCCTGCGGAGATCAGAAGAAGGTGTTAGATCCCCTGAAGCTGGAGCTACAAATGGTTGTTAACCACCATGTGGGTGCTGGGAATCGGACCTGGGTCCTCTGCAAGAGCAGTCAGTGCTCTTAACCGCTGAGCCATCCCTCCAGCCTCATCGTTTGTTTCTTTGAAAAAAACAAACACAAAAATTACATGAGAATTTCTGCTTCCAGCCATAATGGAAAGGCCAGTTTTATTCTCCTATTTAAACAATCAAGAACTATAAATAGCAATTATATAACTACGGTTTTTAGATATTGCATATCTGATGAAGAACGATGGTGCTTCCTGAAAGTGGAAAAAATGTGCAGTAAGCTTTATGATTGTCCCAGCTTACTTTCTAGAGTATGTCCGGGTGCAACACAGGAATCTGAAGTCTAAATAAAATAAAGCAGGCTCTATTAGTTGGAGAGCCAGAACGAAGGTGTGGAGGTCAAGAACATCTAGAATTTACAAGGCCAAGAAGCAAAGTAACAAGGACATAGGGCAAAGTACTTTAGAGAGCTGCAGGAAGATTCCATTGAATATAGCAAAGTATGGATCAGTGAGAGGGTTTGTAGGAACTACTTGAAACTGGGGGAAGAACAAGCTAATAAACAACATATTTTTTGAAGAACAAAACAAACCAAAATCAAATGAACAACAAAAAGATTACTCATTTTTGAAGAATAAAGAAAGAACAAATAAATGAACAAGGGAAGGTTTAAATTCGAGTAGGAAATTTTTATGTTCCCACCATTCAGAGTGGATGTCCCCAAAATTCACATGGTATTCAGGAAAAACACTCCGAAAAATACAGCTCCAGTTGTGAGAAAAATTCATCTCAACGATAAAAGATGTTCTGGCACTACCTACCAATGCTTAAAAGGAGGACTAAATAGGTAAGTTGTTAATTAAGTAATTAATAGCATTTGCATGTATTACGTTTTGAATCTGAAATGCCTCCCAAAAGCAAAATGCCAAAGGCATGGTTATCAGCAGATAGGTAAGTAATTGAACCCTGATGTCTCTGGATTCGATCAATGGATTAAGTCCTAAATGGACTTATAACACAGCATTAATGAAAGGTGGTAGAAAACTAGGAAGCAGAACCTATTTGGAGAAAGTAGGTCACTGATGCTATACCCTGGGAAAATATACTTTGTCCCTAGCCCCTTCCTAGATCCTCGTGCATCCAGGCCACATCATCCCAAAACCACTGATAATCATGCTTTACTACAGGCCCAGAAATAAGGAAGTCATCTGAACATGCAAGATCAGAAAATGTGAGCCAAAATAAATTCTTCCTCCCTTAAGTTGTGTCTCATGTATCTGGTAACAGTAATAAAACAAACAAACAAACAAACAAACAAAAAACTAACAAGTCATGTAACTTAACTGCATTCCAAAGAAGTATTAAGAATTATAAAAACATTGGAGCTGGAGAGATGGCTCAGTGGTTAAGAGCACTGGCTGTTCTTGCAAAGGACCCTGATTCAAATCCCAGCACCCACATGGCAGCTAACAACTGTTTGTAACTCCAGTTCCAGGGAATCCAATGCCCTCTTCTATCCTCCACAGGCACTGCACGACACGTGTGCACTTACACACATACAGGCATAACACTCATACACATAAAATAAAAATAAATTAATTAAAAATTTTTAAAAATGGGGCTGGAGAGATGGCTCAGCAATGAAGCGCACTGACTGCTCTTGCAGAGGACCTGGATTCGATTCCCAGCACCCACAAGGCAGCTAACAACTGTTTCTAACTCCAGTTCCAGGGGATCCAACATCCTCTTCTGACCTCTGTGGGCATTGCATAACATGGGTACACTTACAGACATGCATATACTCATATACATAAAATAAAAACAACAAATAAAATATTTTTAAATTTAAAAAATTTAAGAATTAAAAACACAAAAACTTTTATCACTCAAAAAAGATAAAAGTCAAAAGATAAA